TTAAAACTTATATTTCTTAGTATTTCTAGGGCATTCTCTTAATATTTAACAATATAACACTGATGAAATTATGAAACATTCTATATAACTGCACGCAATATAAGCATTTAATACCATTGGTAAAAATATATAAACCAAACCTGATTAAATTTATAAGACATCTGGTATCTGTCTCATAAATTTATTCTGTAACCCTAGGGAAGCGCAAATATATCTTTGAAATAAACTATATTTTATATATATCCATTATCCATGAATATTTCGTTATACTTACCAAATGTATGTTAATATATCTTTGGTATATTTGGTATATCTGGTATTGAAAACCCTTGATCTGTTGTATACGCAACGGAGTTTTTGGATTCTAGGTCTTTATCACAGTTGTTTAGATATATTTCTTTTTCTTTCAGTTTAATCAATGATTTTGTGTGAAAGTTGACTTATTTGTTTAATCTTTCTCTTCTTCTCCTTATTCTACTTCTACAACTTCTGCATAATCTTCTTTTCCTCCTTCTACTTCTTCTTCATCACCTACTTCCTCTTCCTCCTTCTTTTCTTCTTCTTCCTCTTCCTCCTCATCTTCTTCTTCTCCTTCCTCCTCCTCATCTTCTTCTCTTACTTCTTCCTCTTGCTCTTCTTCTTCCTATTCCTCCTCCTCTTCTTCTCCTTCATTCTTTTCCTTTTTCTCCATCATCTACTTCCTCTTCTTCTTCCTCTTCCTCCTCCTCTCCTTCACCTTCATCCTTCTCTTCATCTTCTTTCTCTTCTTCTCTTACTTTTCCTTCTCTCCTCTCTTTTCTCCTTCATCCTCCTCCTCTTCTTCTTCCCCTTGCTCTTCTTCTTCCTCTTGCTCTTCTTCTTCCTCTTCCTCCTCTTCTTCTTCATCTTGCTCTTCTTTTTCCTCTTGCTCTACTTCTTCCTCTTCCACCTCCTCTTCCTCTTCTTCTCCTTCCTCCTCCTCCTCTTCTTCTTCCCTTACTTCATCTCCTCCTTTTTCTACTTCCCTTACTTCCTCCTCCTCCTACTCTTTTTCTTCCTCTTCCTCCTCCTCTTCTTCTTCCCTTACTTCTTCCTCCTCCTCCTCTTCCTCTCCCCCAGGTCCCGCACTACGAGACGGTGTACAAGACCCAGTACGTGCCCAAGACCCAGTACCAACCCGTGTACAAGACCATCTACAGCACCAACTACCACACCCAATACGTCCCGGAATACGTCACCAAAACCTACTACCAGACGGAGCTGAAATACGTCACGAACTACAAGACCCAGTACGTCACGCAACACCACACGAAATACGTCACCAACATCGAGTACGTCCCGAAATACGTCACCAAGACGGCTTACAACACCGTCTACAAGACCAATGTCCAGTACCAGACCGTTTACAAGACGGAATACGAGCCACATTACGTCACCAAGACGCAGTACCAGTACAAGACCCATTACAATACCCAGTACGTGCCCCAGTACCACAACGGTTTTGTCCACACGGAATACGGCTACAAGACGGTGTGTCCGAAGCCCTATGGTTACGGTTATTAAAACGGGTTATGATTTTTGTTTTACGTCTCTCTGTTGACCGGAAAATACTGTAAACTAATTTTTTTTGTCATTTTAAGTCTTTTTCTTTTTTTTGTCATTTAAGTCTTTTTTTGTTTGTTTTTTTTTGTCATTTAAGTCGATATTTCTTTGTGATAATGTTGCTTCTTGCTTAATCAGGGATATAGATATATATTTTTTAGATTAGGGTATGTGTATATGCAATTGTGACGGCAAAATATCAATGCATGGAGGTAGTTTATGTGCTACTTGCAAAGATTGTATTTATTTTGAGAAATAAAAGGCAAATGCAGATAGATTTTTTGGTCCCTTCTATACGAATACGAAGAAAAGCAGACGAAAAAAACCCAATAAATCAAAATGAAAAATAGAAAGTATGGAAATAAACAAACAAGGAACAAACACAATCATTAAGGCAGAAAATGGGGAGAGAAAGAAAGAAAAAAGAAGGAAAGAAAGATAGAAAAAAAGAAAAAGAAGGAGAGAAATGAAAAAAAACAAAAAGAAAGAAAGGGAAAAAGAAAAAAGAAAAAAAATAAAACAGGACAATACACAAACATAACAAAAGGAAAAAAAAACAAAAGAAAAAAACAACGAAAAAAAACACACATAAAAACAGGACAAAACATACTTCAATAACCTTAACACTCACCCACCCACCCACACCACCACCACCCCTTACAAAATCAAACAGAACTCACTAATCCTTATGACACCGCCATGACTCTCATGACAGACACCACCGCAGTCAACGCAGCCGTGACACAGCCTTGCACGGAGGTTCCTGACATGATGTAGGTGTTAATGGATACTCTGGTTGCATAATATTATCGGTGTTGTCATGAAATGGGCGGCTGGCACGTGAAACCGCTAGTCATGGGTGAGGATATGCACGTACGAATATACGTATATATGTAAGAGAGGGGGAGAGGGGGAGGGG